TCTTCAACAGCTTGCCAAAACTGGGTAAGCAGCCCTCCACCGGAAATAATTGCCTGCCCCTGATCTACATCATAGGGTCCACTCCTCTGCAATCTCAGGTGACAATGTTAAAGATGTTAAGTTCACAAGGGTCCAGAAGAACATCTGCTCCAGCCCCTCACCCTCACTCGAAGCCACAAAGCATTCTCCAGCATCTAATACCAATCTTAGCTTCTTTAGTACAAAAAAAAAAGGCCAAAAATTTGAAGTGGGACACAGGAGGAGATCAAAAGAGAACTTTAACCTTTTTTGCTGGCTTAGGATTTCTAAATATCTTATCATGGTTATTGCTTTCCTCTTAATTCCTTCCAGTTTGACCACTTCTTTTTGGGAATATTGATTATAACAGTGAACACCATTGATAATAGGGGTTGATATTGTACTGACTAGTCTATAGTTTCCTGCATCTTGCTCATTCCCTTCTTTAAGACAGCCTGTGGACACAGACAGAAATTACATTTGTCATGTGATCAGCCCTTTGAAAATGCTCTACAGCCATGCCCTAACAGAAAAGCACAGCTGCAGAGCACTCTGATTATGTGACAAATTAACCCTCATTATATGAGGGTTCAAATGAAGGCTCTCCAAAGTGGAGCATCTTCATTCACTTGTGTCTATTCCAGTGGCTGGGCTGCTACAGCCCAGTGCCATTCCCAGTACTGTCTCAGGATGGGAGAGAGGAACAAAGGAGGGGAGGGGAGCTTGGATTGGTGTTTGCCCAGTCTGTGCTGCAGTGGAGGCAGGTGGATTGGAGCCCTCCACCTTGGAAGGCTCTGGTCTACCCACCCCCACTCCAGCACAGGCTGGGCAAACACCATTTCCAGCTCTGTCTCCTCTTTTCTCCTGAGACAGCACTGGAGCTAGGGGAAAGAGGGCTAGGGGTAGAGGCTGCAGATACACAGCCTGTCTTGCTGGATCAGCTCCAAATTGGAGCTCAATTGCCCACCTTCCCAACACAACAGCTAATGACTGTTGAGTTGGGAGGATTGGTCTAATTCATGGTGCTTTCTGTGAAGTGCCATGAGTTAGACCAGGAAGATGCACTTCTATCTGTGCCTTCCATGTTTGTCCTTCTCCATTTCTCTGGGATCTCCTCTGTCCTCCATGAATTTCTGAAGATAATTACCAATAATTCAGAGATTACGTTACCTACTTCCTTCAGCACTGTACAGTGAATTTCCAGAGGCCCTGCTGACTTGAATACAACTATTTTATCTAAATATGTTGTACCTGATCTTTCCTCATTTAGGCCTGAACTTTTCTTCTATGTAAAGACTGAAGGCAGTGATTACTTCAGTTTTTTTATGCCTCACCAGTTATTTCCTCTGCTTTCCTGTTTTAGCAACAGACCTATAGCTTCCCTTGTCTACTCTTCTGATATATTTTATAGAACCTTTTCTTGCTACTTTGTGTCCTTTGATAACTGAAACTCACTTGGCATCTTAGCCTTCCTGATCTTATCCCTACATGCTTGTGCAGTTCCCTTATATTTGTCCTCAGTCATGCACCCTTGTTTCTTATAATGAATGGCCTGATGAAAGCAGATTCAGAAATCTGTCTTCCTGTACAACACTAATGGGACATTCCACAAAGATAAAATGTAGCAAATGAAAAGGAAACGCTGAATTAGCATATGGAATCTTTTGCTGCAGAAAACCATGGAGGCCAAGAATTTAGCAGGCTTCCAAAATGTCTAGCTATAGCCATGGATAAGAATGGCCAGAGTTAGTATTTTAAGAGTTAATGCAACCAGGACTTTTAGTTCAGGCCATAAGGCAGCGTCTAGCTATGAGAGTAGAAAGGAGAAGAAGTCCCTGAAGGCAGCTTATCCCAAAACTACCTACCATAGAATTGCTGTTCCTTTCTCTGTTGCAGCTCATTACCCTCAGAGA